CCCAGGTGCTGGACCAGGCGGCTTTCCAGAAGTTGCTCAACAACGAGCTGAGCCATCAGCTCACGGTGAGACCCGGCGACTCGCACCCCAAGGCACCAGCAATTGCCAACTGCTCACTGATGGCAAAGGGGGCTCTGGCGGTGCCCCTCACTCCCGACCCGCAGCCCCCTGCTGCCCCAGCCTTGGGCTCCCTCACCCCAGCTCTGCCAGTGCCTCTCAAACCCGACCCATAGCCCCCTGCTGCTATCCCAGCCCTGGGCTCCCTCACCCCAGCTCTGTTGGTGCCCCACACTCCCGACCACAACCCCCTGCTATCACAGCTCTGCCGGTGCCCCTCGGTCCTGACCTGCAGCCCCTGCTAGCCCAGCCCTGGGCTCCCCCTTTCCTGCCACCGGCTCTGATGATGCCCCTTAATTCACCCCTCCTTTATCCACCTCTGCCTCTAGCTTGTAGCTCAGCAACACAAACACACACACACATACCCATGTAGCAGGTGTGATTCCCTCCAGCAGGAGCCATCTCCCCCTCTGCCCCCCACCAGTAGCAACCTTCACTAGCCAGCTGCTTCCCACACCGCGGCTTTGCCATGTCTCCCTTGTGTTTCAGGAAGTGCAGAGCACAGAGGCGGGGAAGGACCTGTTGAAGAGGTATGCAGACAAGAAGGGCATCTCCTTCGAGGAATACTGGAAGCTGGTCGCTTTCGTCTGCCAAACCATCCAGTGTAACAATTACAGCAAACGTAAGAGTTCAGTGGAGGACAGTGGGGAAACCGAGGCAGGTTCCTAAGTGGGCGACTCCCCCAAATCCTTCACTTCCAGAAGTTAAAGCAAACCTGTCCCCCTCCCCCACTTCCCTCCCCCGCAGCCTCTAAACCCAGTTGCCCTAAAATTCACCAGCTCTCTCAGAGACTGGAATCTGTCTGCCTACCCCCTCCTCCCACTGCGGGGATCCCCACCCCGCCCTGCGCTCCCCACATCTCCCACCTCTCCCGCTGCCAGGATCCCCACCCCACCCTGTGCTCCCCACATTGCCCACCTCTCCCACTGCGGGAATCCCCACCCCGCCCTGCACTCCCCACATCTCTCACCTCTCCCGCTGCCTGGATCCCCACCCCGCCCTGCGCTCCCCACATCTCCCACTTCTCCCGCTGCCAGGGATCCCCACCCCGCCCTGCACTCTCCACATCGCCCACCTCTCCTACTGCGGGGGATCCCCACCCTGCCCTGCGCTCCCCACATCGCCCACCTCTCCCGCTGTCGGGATCCCCATTCCGACCTGCGCTCCCCACATCGCCCACCTCTCCCGCTGCTGGGATCCCCACCCCGCCCTGCGCTCCCCACATCGCCCACCTCTCCCGCTGCCGGGATCCCCACCCCGCCCTGCGCTCCCCATATCTCCCGCCTCTCCCGCTGCCGGGATCCCCACCCACAACCTCCCTAGATAATTTGTTCCGGTGCTTAGCCACCCTGACAGACAGGAAGTTTCTCCTAATGTCCAACCTAAACCTCCCTTGCTGCAATTTAAGCCCGTTGCTTCTTGTCCTGTCCTCAGTAGAGTGGAAGAATTATTTCTCATGTCTTGCTTACAACACTCCTGCTAATACAGCCTAGAATGATGTTCTCTTTTTTTGCAACAGCGTTACACTGTTGACTCATATTTAGCTTGTGGTCCACTGTGACCCCAGATCCCTTTCCGCAGTACTCCTTCCTAGGCCGTCATTCCCCATTTTCCCAAGTGAAGTACTTCGCATTTGTCCTCACTGAATTTCAGACCATTTCTCCAGTTTGTCCAGATCATTTTGAATTTTAATCCTATCCTCCAAAGCAGTTGCAATCCCTCCCAGCTTGGTATTGTCCGCAAACTTTACAAGTGTGATCTCTGTGCCATTATCCAGATCATTGATGAAGATATTGAACAGAACCAGACCCAGAACAGATCCCTGCAGGACTCCACTCAATATGCCTTCCAGCTTGACTGTGAACTACTGATTATCTATATCTATCTATCCCCAGACACCCCCTCTAGGTAATCTATCTATCTATCTATCCCAGACACCCCCTCTAGCTAATCTATCTATCCTATACTTGAGTGTGTCTGGCTATCTCCAGCAGAGGGCACTGTTGCACAAGCAGATATTCCCGAGCAAGGCTAAGACATGGGCCCCTGGCTGTGGTCTCTGGGGCTGGTGGGACCCTAAAGGCGACATCTGCCTTTGCTTTGCAGGTGGAAGGAAGCCGGCCGAGATGGCTGGGAAAGACTCTGAGCTGGAGAAAGGCCTCCATGCCATCGTGGGCAGCTTCTACAAATACGCCAAGGACAAAGGCGGAGCCCAGGCGCTGGACCAGGCGGCTTTCCAGAAGTTGCTCAACAACGAGCTGAGCCATCAGCTCACGGTGAGACCCGGCGACTCGCACCCGGGGCGACCAGACGTCCCGATTTTATGGGACTGTCCCAATATTTCCTTGTTTGTCCCGCGTCCCGACCGATGTTTGGTTGGGACACTGCACAAAGAAGCTCCGGCTCGCGCCCACCCCCCCGACTCTGCCCCCTCCTTCCCCCATTGGATAGCTCCCCAAATCCCCGCTCTGGCCCCGCCTCTTCCCCACGCACGCCGCTTGCACGCCGATCAGCTGTGTGGCGGCGGCGCACGCGCTGGAGGGAGGCCGGACACCAGCGTGTGTGGCGCGGCCGCCATGAAGATTAAGAGGGTGGTGTGGTACGGCAGCTGTGCCTGGAGGCCAGCGGAGGAGGGATGTGTGGAGGGGGGATGGAAGGAGGGGGGTCGGGCAGTTGCACCGAGTCCGCGCCTCTCTCTTGGCGCGGCGGCTGTGGGGGTCCGGGGCGCGGGCGCTGTAACCCGAAACCTCCCGCCCGTGAGTGGAGCGGAGGCAGCGGGGGAAGAAGGAAGGGGGGCGGCTCGGCAGTCCCACACACACCAAGAGGGGAGCGCTCCGGTTTGTTCACTGAGCTTATGGCAGCTACAGGGTGGGGAAGGGGGGGTCTGTGCCTCCTTTGCGGGGCTCTCTCGGCCCCAGGTGGGTTCTCGCTGCCCTCTGCTCCTGCGGCCTTCCCGGCCCCACCCCCCCGGGACTTTGCCTCCTGCACCAGCCTTTGTGTGCGGAGGCGGGACAAGCCCGTGCCGGGAGGGAGGCTGGTTTTTAGGGCATCTCTGATTGCAGAGCCGGGGGGCGCAGCCAGCGGCTGCAGAGGGTTGCGGCGGGGCGGGGGGTGCGCTCTGGTGGCTTTTTTTTTTTTGCTCCACCCCCCAGCGTCCCGATATTTCATCTTTGGCATCTGGTCACCCTACTCGCACCCCAAGGCACCAGCAATTGCCAACTGCTCACTGATGGCAAAGGGGGCTCTGCCGGTGCCCCTCACTCCCGACCCGCAGCCCCCTGCTGCTATCCCAGCCCTGGGCTCCCTCACCCCAGCTCTGTCAGTGCCCCTCTATCCTCACCTGCAACCCCCTGCTAGCCTGGACCTGGGCTCCCCCTTTCCTGCCACCAGCTCTGATGATGCCCTTTAATTCTTAATTCACCCCTCCTTTATCCACCTCTGCCTCTCGCTTGAAGCTCAGCAACACACACACACACAGCAGGTGTGATTCCCTCCAGCAGGGGCCACCACAACACACTCCCCCTCACCAGTAGCCGCCTTCATTGGCCAACTGCTTCCCGCACCGCGGCTTTGCCATGTCTCCCTGGTGTTTCAGGATGTGCAAAGCACAGAGGCGGGGAAGGACCTGTTGAAGAAACTGGATACAGACAAGAATCAGCTCATCTCCTTCGAGGAATACTGGGAGCTGGTCGCCTTAATCTGCTACGCCATCGAGCGTTACAATTACAGCAAAAAGTGACCATTGAGCGGAGGCGATTGGGGAAACTGAGGCAGGCTCCTAAGTGGGCGACTCCCCCAAATCCTTCACCTCCAGAAGTTAAAGCAAACCTGTTCCCCTCCCCCACTTCCCTCCCCCTGCAGCCTCTAAACCCAGTTGCCCTAAAACTCACCAGCTCTCTTGGAGACTGGAATCTGTCTGCCTACCCCGTCCTCCTGCCGCCGGGATCCCCACCCCACCCTGCGCTCCCCACATCTCCCACCTCTCCCACTGCTGGGATCCCCATTCCGGCCTGCACTCCCCACATCTCTCACCTCTCCCACTGCTGGGATCCCCATTCCGGCCTGCGCTCCCCACATCTCTCACCTCTCCCACTGCGGGGATCCCCACCCCACCCTGCGCTCCCCACATCTCTCACCTCTCCCACTGCGGGGATCCCCACCCCACCCTGAGCTCCCCACATCGCCCACCTCTCCCACTGCCGGGATCCCCACCCCGCCCCGTGCTCCCCACATCTCCCACCTCTCCCGCCGCCGGGATCCCCACCCCACCCTGTGCTCCCCACATCTCCCACCTCTCCCACCGCTGGGATCCCTCTTGGCCTGGCCTACCCATGCCATCTGCCTGGCCCACTGTAACTTGGTAATGTTGCTTGAATAAAGAAACCAATTTGTCTCTTTTCATCCTGCAGTCAGAAGACTTTTGACACACGAGGCTCGGTATTGTCCTGAGCTGGCAGAAGACTGTGGGAGTGCTGGAGGGAATCGTGTGTATGTGTGTGGGGGGGCGGGTTTGCTGAGCTACACTGTAGCCCTGGGTGGGCAAACTGTTTGGCCCAAGGGCCACATCTGGGAATAGAAATTGTATGGCGGGCAATGAATGCTCACAAAATTGGGGCTGGAGGTGCGGGAGGGGGTGAGGGCTCTGACTGGGGGTGCGGGCTGTGGGGTGGGGCCAGAAATGAGGAGTTCAGGGTGCAGGAGGGGGCTCTGGGCTGGAGTGGGTGAGCGGGGCAGGGGGGTGAGGACTCTGGCTGGGGGTGTGGGCTCTGGGGTGGGGCGGGGGATGAGGAGTTTGGGGTGCAGGAGGGTGCTCTGGGCTGGGACCGAGGGGTTCGTAGGGAGGGAAGGGGATCAGGCTGGGGCAGGGGGTTGGGGTGTGGGGAGACGCTCTGGGGTGCAGGCTCCCAGCGGCACTTACCTCAAGCGGCTCCCGGAAGCAGCGGCATGTCCCTTCTCCGGCTCTTACACGCAGGCAATGGCCATGCAGGTCCCATTGGCGTGGTGGAGGAGGCCACTGGAGCAGATAGTAGCAGGAGTGGGGTCATGCTGTGGCTTCTGGGAGTCGTGTGGTGCAGCCCTGACCCTGCACCTCGAGCTGTAGTTTCCCCACCCCTGATTTATGGGGTTTTTCCAGCTCAATTGATACAGATATTACCTAGCATTGGTCCCTGGGGAACCCCACTAGAAACACCCCCATTAGACGACAATTCCCAGCAAAAATTACTTTGGGGGATCTATCAGCAAGCCAGTTTTTAAGCCATTGGATGTGGGCTGCATTGGTTTTCGCCTAGGGCTAATTCTTGACTTGGGATGTCGTGCAGGGCTAAGTCAAATGCCCTCCATATGTGATGCCAACTTTCCTTTGAGTGTATTATGTCAACACAGTAACCTTTATTTACCTAACCGGGGCACTCATAAAAAAACGATACTGAGTTTCTCTGACATGACCTCTTTGCCAAGAAACCAGGTTGAAGGGCAACTAACAGAAGGCGCGAGTGTCTCTTTGTTCATTTCGCCTTAGGCCATGTGGGTATGTCTTGCTACGTGTTGCAACACATGACAGATTCCAGGCCAAATTCCCTGCTGGTGGCGAACAACCCTTGATTCAACGGAGTTCAAGCCACTTACACGAGGGCTTCACTTGGCCCTGACTTCCTAGGAAGAGACGTTCCCGCCTCTGTATCCAGTCAGTCTGCGAGGTCAAGAGAGCAGAGCGGCAGCCCTCCCTGGGCTAGATCCGCAGCTAGTGTCATTCGGACGTCGCTCCGTTGCGGCCCATGGAGCCAGAGCCCCGAGTGGTGCAAGTCAGCGCTGGATGCAACTGAGCTCCGCCCGGTCGCACCAAGGGGCCATCTGGCACCGTTAACTTCCAGCCCAGAACATCTTCAGCGTTCATTGCCAAGAGACGGCGGGAGACCCATTTCCCCCGGGAACCTCACAACTCACTCAAAGTGGCACGTCAGCAGTCTCCAACGGCTCATCCGTGAGGGTACAATTTCCTCATGGATATTTTTAGTAAAAGTCGGGGACAGGTCACGGGCCATAAACAAAAATTCAGGGGAGCCGTGACCTGTCCCTGACTTTTACTAAAAACATCCCTGACAAAATGGGGAGGGAGGAGGGTCCAGCACCTTGCCCCATTGCATGCAACAGCTGGGAGCTGCGGCCCCCCCTGCCCAGTGGCTGGGAGCTGGGGAGTCCCCCACCTCCAATGGTGACTAGGAGCTGGAGAGGTGGCTTGCCACTCGCAGCAGCTGACCAGCTGCCATGGTCCTCCCGCTGCCCACGGGGCTGGGAGCTGGGAGGGGGGGTCCCCCACCTTCTTCAGGGGCTGGGCAGCTTAGGTGGGGGGCATGTCACAGATTCATAGCTTTACTCATCCGACAGATGCTCAGCTGGTCCAAGGCCAGAGAGAGCAATTTCTCCCCCAGGGAAGGCGAGAAGATGCATAATCCTATATGGGACTTGAACCTATATAATCAGGAATCCAGAGTCTGACGTGTACATCCAGACTGACCCTTCCAGAGTCCATGGAATCAGGGCTGGAGTCTGATCTCAGGGACCCCCCGTGTAAACCCAGAGTGACTCCACGCCAGCCAGCAGTGTGTACTTTCGAAGTATGCTAGCCTAAAGTGAAGTAAGTCCAGCAGCTTCACTAGATTTACACTTTGTAAACCCAGAGTAAGAGAGGTCGACTCAGTTCAATCACTCCAGGTTCCCACCGGCGGAACGGAGTAATAAACGGATGGATTTAGTTCAGTGGATTTATTGGGATGTAATTGAGGAATACCTGCAGAAAGGCCAATAGGGTTACTCCAGGTTTACACTGGGGTGTAATTGAGGAGCCAGTCAAGGAACCACAACGGATTTATGTTGGTGTGACTGCAAAGTAACTCTGCTGACTGCACCAGTGTTCTACTGGTGCAAATCCAGAGTAACTCCAATTAGCCTAGTGGAATTATTCCAGGTATGCTCATGTATCTGAGGAGTAAATCCATGAACTTCAATGGATTTACCTTGGTGTAAAGGGAGTAACTCCAGTGACATTCAGTAGAACTACTCTACATTTACACCAGGGAGTAACTTGGGAGGAAGTGCCAGTGACTATGATGGAATTACTCCAGTTTTACACTCGTGTGTAACTTGGGGAGAAATGCCATTGACTTCAATGGAGCTACTCCGGGTTTACACCAGCGTGTAAATGGGAAGTAACACCAGTGCCCTCAGTGTAGTTACCACAAGTTTACACTGCTGTAACTGACGGGTAGTGATAATTACTTCAGTGTGGTTACTCCACATTTACACCAATGTGTAACTGAAGAGTGAGACCAGATAGTTCCCTTGACTTACACTGGGCAAAGTCAGTTACTCCACATGTACAACTGTACGCAACCAAGGAGCAAGTGCATGGATGTCACAGGAGTTGCTCAGGTTTTACACAGCTGTAACTGTGATCAGATTCGGCCCCAGAAAGTCTGAAACTCTTAACTCGGATGCTCTGACCTCTGTGGCGCACCAAAGGGACGAATGAACCAGCAGTTCTCAAAGGAAACCAAATTAATTGCCATTGAATGCTTCCTATTTAAGGTTACATCTCACCAGGGAAATGGCCGGACCATGCACCCAGGGGCTGCTGAGAACAAAGAACCAACAACAAGCTAGAGGTTCAGCTGGTGTGAACCACCCCAGCTAGTGGATAAGTCAGGATGTCACCGACTTACGGCCAAAATTGCCTTTGTTCTAGGTTGCGGGTTCAAATCCCAGGGCTGTTGGGTTGGATAAAACAAGGTGGTGGGATATTGGCGGGTTCTGTGGAAGGGTTCCTGAAGCCATCATCACTGATCCTGCTGTTAACTGGCCCCCTGTCATTGGCGGATAAGCCAAGACTACTCGGGCCTCAGGAACTGAGTAGAGAAGAATCCGTCCAGGTGTAGGACTCAGGCACATCAGCAGAGGGCGATGTGGGGCAACTTGGCCATGGCACCAAGGTGGCTCCGATCAGGCTGGCTGGCCCAGAGCGATGGGGCAAGGGACATGGAGCCTCTCCCCTCTAAGGGTGTCAGAGATCCAGGTCCCACAGGGAGAGGGGCTCGCTGGACTGAGTGCTCAGGAAGGGAACTATCTCCTCCGCGAAGGAGTCCTGGAAGGTGTGCAGATGGCTCAAGCTGGAGCTGTTGTAGAAGGACAACTGGCCTCCTTCCAAGTCCAGATACACCCCCACCTTCTCCAGCCTCCCGCAGACGGACAGGGTGAGGCGGGGGTCCGTCAGGGCCCGGTACTGCCCCCCTCGCCGCTCGATGGCCCACACCCCTTCCCTGGCCCGGAAGCTGAGACGTCTCTTGCGTTTCACGGACCTCCGGGCAGCGCCCACCACCCAGTCAGGATTGTCGCCCACCCGCACCTCCCAGTAGAGCCGGCCGCCCGCACAGCCCTCCCGCCCCACCACACAGGGGCTGGCCGTGAAGCGCTGGGGCTTACGGCGCCAGAACCGCCGGCCCGGGCTGAACTTGACGCCGGTGGCTTCCTCAATGAGGACCAGGCTGGGATGGGCCGAGTGGCAGTCCAGGGTGATGCAGGCTGGCACTGCGGGAGGAGAGAGGGAGAGGAAGGGGTTAATGGCTGGGTTGTGTCTCATATGCCCCGTATTGGCAGCAGGGGATGGGGATTCCCCATCAATTAAAGAGATATTCTCCCCCAAGTCAGTGCTGGCCCCATGGTAGCACTTGGGGGCACTGTGTTGTAGGGAGCATGGTAGGGGGTTCGGTAGGGGGCGCTCTTCCCTCACAGTCAATGCTGACCCCAATACCCCAAATCAGTACTAGGGGGCGCTGTGCTGCAGGGAGCAGAGTCAGCGATGCTTTTCCCAACACTGGGGGCATGCAAAGCAATATCATGGGAACGGCACCACCCCTTCATCTTCCTCTTCCTTTGCCTCTTCCTCCTCAGCCTCCAGCGCCCCCTGCTGATCTCCCGCCCCACTCCCCACAGCACAGAGGCCGAGTACGGTCACTTCACCTGGGTGGACTATCCCCAGTAGCTCCTTCCAGGCGTAGAACTGCAGAGGTCCCTTAAACTCCCCAAGGTTCAGGTCCACAGGCACCACCCCATCGTCTTCCTCTTCCTTAACCTCTTCTTCCTCGGCCCTCTCCTCTTCTTCCTCCTCTTCCACCTCAGGTTCCTCATCTTCCTCGTCCTCTTCCCCTTCCTCCTCTTTCTCACATTCATCGGTGTCGTCGTCACTGGTTCTCAATTCCTCTTCTGCCTCCACCTGGTCTGTCTTCTCCACCTCCTTCCCCTGGACTCCCTGCCCCGCACGGACTCTGTGGAGAAGCTTGTGGGTTGGCGTGAGTGGCCCTAATGTGGTTTTCGAGGATAAGGGCCTACCACCAACAACCAATGGGGTCATGAAGGCAACAGCCCTACCCACCACCATCAGCCAATGGGGTCATGAAGGCAACAGCTGACCCACCACCACCAGCCAATGGGGTCTCAAAGATAACGGCCTACCTACTGCTGCCAGCCAATGGGGTCACAAGGATAATTGCCTACCTACCACTATCAACCAATGGTGTCATGAGGATACTGGCCTGTGTACCGCTGCCAGCTAGCGGAGTTACTGCTTTAGCTCAAGTGTAATGTCTGGCGTGTGTGTGGTCAGCTGGCCTGCAGAAGGAGACAAAAGCCTACTAAAGCTACTAGTTAATGGTGCTACTCCCGTATGTCAAGCGGTAGAGCTCAGAGCTCGCTGTGTGCTCATGAGAGGATAATAACCTACTATTGCTACCAGGTAAGGGTAGTACTCCTGGAGCTCAAGTGATGGAGTTTAGCGTGCGCTGGTTCGTGTGAGAGAAAAGCTTATCACTGCTTGATGGACTCACTCCTGTCACTCACACTGTAGCGGCCCCTGCTCCTAGGTCTAGTGGACCCTGGATTGAACCCTGCAGGTGACCAATGAACTCAAACTTTCGTATGGAAATTTTGGGTGTGGGGACAAACCCAAAGATACTCACCTCTCCATCAGCTCCTTGGCATCCTGGATGAGAGGAGAAAAGGGATGGGAATGAGTCAATCCCCAGAGGAGCTACCTCCGCCTCCCCCGACCTCTGTCCATGGGCAAAACTCTGCTCCTCAGCCCCATAACTGCTGCCTCACCCCAGTCAATAGGATGATTATTTCCTCTCTGGACCAAGTTTTGGTCCCCATCCCCATCTCTGTTCCCTTGCGGTCCTATCAACCCCCATTGACCCATCTCTGCTGGCACCCAAACCCCAGCTCTTCTCCCCTGCCCCCTCCAAAGCCCTAACCTGTCCCCCATTCTAGCTCTGTCCCCCTCCAGCCTTCCCTGCCCCCTCCCAACCTCCCCCACCAACGGTCTGGCCCTTCCCCTCACCTTGAGGAAGCCGATGTTGTCCTTGCGCTCCAGCCCCCCGCGTACCCTGGAGAGGGTCTCGGTCCAGGACGCCACTTTCCCATTCAGCTCCTGGAGCTTCTCTTCCATCTGGGCCAGGTTCTTCTTCCGCTGCCGCTCCAGCGCCTCCTTCAGGCCCAGCTCCCGCAGACTCAGCAGCCGGCGCATCTTCTCGAACTCTCCCGAGATGTGGTCCAACAGGGACTCGGAGCAGCTCTAGGCAAGGCGGAGGGGGGGGGGGAGGGATGGAAACCTGAGTGGGTGTCTGAGCCGTCAGCACCAGACCCACTTCTACACCAAGGCTTATTCCAGAGCTGAGGATAGAACCCAGGATTCCTGGCTCCCAGCCCCCCTCCCTGCTCTGACCACTAGACCCCACTCCCCTCCCAGAGCTGGGGATAGAACCCAGCAGTCTCTCCCTCCTTGGATGATGCCCATCTAGTCCGGTATCCCGCCTCCTACCTCCAGCTCTGTTATGTTCTCCTGCTGGCGGCACTGGCTCCGCATCAGCCTCTTGAGACCTTCCTCCAGGGGCTGCAGAGACGCCTTGAGCTGTTCCTGGGCAGCAGAGATCCGGGGTCACCAGTTGGAGCCACCCCATCGAGATTCCTCACCCGGCAGTGGGATTTCAGTCCCAGCTCCCTCCTGGGAATTTCAGCCCTGCCCAGCCCTTCCCATTGGCTGCCCTTCCCCAAATCCCTGCCTCCCAGGGATGGGCAGCCAATCAGAGCTGCTGCAGGTGACAGGCAGGTGACAGGCAGAGTGTACTACCTTCCCCCGCCCCACTCCCCCAGCAGCCAAGAGGAGTTTTCAGGTAGGGGAGGAGGGAGCAGAAAGAGCCTGACAGTTCCAGGAATGGGTCAGTCCACTCCCCCCACCCCACTGGGAGCAATGGGTCAGACTGCTCTCACCCCCCTCACAATGGGTCAGTCCACTTCCAACGATGAGCAATAGGTCAGTCCTCTCTCCCCTCTTTCCCTCCTGTGAGTAATGGGTCAGTCCACTCCCCCTTCCTCTCCTGTGAGCAATGGATTGCTCTGCTCTGTCTGTCTGTCTCTCTCTCTCCTAGCTTGGGTCACTCCATTCTCCTCTACTCTACTCCCCTCCTGTGAACAATGGGTCAGTCCACTCCCCCCACCCCCCTCTGTGAACAAGGGGTCAGTCAGTCCACTCCCTTCTTAGCAGTGGATCAGTCCACTCCTCCCCCTCCTGGAAGCAATGGTTCAGACTGCTCCCACCTCTAACCAGCCCCCCCATCCCCATGAGCGGTGAATCTATCCACCTCTCCCATCATGAACAATGGGCCAGTCCACTCCCCCACTCAGAGCAATGGGCCTTTTCACCCCCCCTCCCCCTTGATGAGCCACTCCCTGCGCCCCCTATGAACAATGGGTCAGTCCACACACACACCCCGAACACAAGGCCTGGGAGGGGTGAGGAGCCCCTGCAGTTGCGGGACAGGGAGGGACGAAGTGCAGGGTGGGGGCAGGACCGACACGTGGCTGGTGGTGATCAGCATTGATGTGGGTCTCGACTTGTCTCTGAGGAGCCCAGAAAGCTCTGATGTGGGGATGGGGGCACTGGGTTCACACGGGGCTTGAAGTGGCAGAATTAAAGGCTGGGCTGGGAAGCAGCCAGAGGCAGGCTGGGGTGGGCAGAATTGAACCCACTAGACCCTGCCTAGAGAACCCAGGAGTCCTGGTTCCACCCCTATGCTCTCCCAACCTCTAGGCCCCACTCACCTCCCAGAGAACCCAGGCGTCCTGCCTCTTATCTCCCCCTGCACACTCTAATCCCTAGATCCCACTCCCCGCCCAGAGAACCCAGGTGTCCTGGCTCCCGCCTCCACACTCCCCTCTCAGAGACCCCAGGTGTCCTGGCCCTTACCTGATATTTCTGGACGGCGTTTTTGACGGGCAGGAAGTCATGGCCGCGGTGCTGGGGCAGGTCCCGGCAGATCACACACACGGGCCCCTCGTCCTGGCTGCAGAAGAGTTTGAGGGGCTCCTCATGCTCCGCGCAGAAATACCAACTCCCTCCTCCGCCCGGCTGGGCCCCCTCGTCCAGTCTGAGCAGCCGGGCTTTCTCCGCCAGGCTGCACAGGGCCCGGTTGAGGGCCACCCGGCGCAGGGCGAAGGGGCGCCGGCACTCGGGGCACAGCCCCCGGCGCTGCCCCTTGGGGACGCAGGGCTCCAGGCAGGTGGTGCAGAAGCTGTGCCCGCACTCCAGCATGCGGGGGTCCCGGAACAGGGACAGACAGATGGGGCAGAGCAGGTCCTCCGTGAAACTGGAGACTTCTCTGACTGATGCCATCAGGCTGGGGACGTCCCTTCTCCTAGGGGCCTGAACGCTGCTAGGCCGGGACGTCCCTTCTCCCAGGGGCCGGGTCACTGCTGGGCCAGGACGTCCCTTCTCCCAGGGGCCAGGACGCTGCTGGGCCGGGACGTCCCTTCTCCCGGGGGCCGGGTCACTGCTAGGCCAGGACGTCCCTTCTCCTGGGGGCCGGGTCACTGCTGGGCCGGGATGTCCCTTCTCCCAGGGGCCGGGATGCTGCTGGGCCGGGACGTCCCTTCTCCCGGGGGCCCGGACGCTGCTGGGCCAGGACGTCCCTTCTCCACGGGGCCGGGTCGCTGCTGGGCCGGGACGTCCCTTCTCCCGGGGGCCGGGTTGCTGCTGGGCCAGGACGTCCCTTCTCCACGGGGC